GTATGCTGGTTTTTGTCCCAACCATAATTGCCATCATAGGACTTTAACAAGCTGTTAATTTGTCCAAATTGGGTGCATTTTGTGTTTGAATATGTTATTTGCTGTTTTAAGCCAATTTTTAACAGAATTATCCATTTGAGCCATGAAGATTAATGAACCGAATAAAAGACTCTTGCATATAAAGTTTTTTTTTTTTCCTGTGTGGCAAGCAATTTCAGGTAATAACATTTTTAAACAGATCAAATCAGGTACTGAGAAAATCGGTAACCTCCAAATTAGGTTGCTGAAGACAGGTGATTGGAGTTCTTTCACAATAATTGGCTTGCACTCAATCACAAAAACATAACATAAAACAGGTTTGACTCCGTCATTTGCTTGTTTAGTAAATTGTTAGTTTTTGCAACCATGTGCCCACACTTTCACCTATTAAGAACCCATTGATTTTTTTTCCTTTGATTGGGTACATTTTTTCCCTCTTTTTATGCAGTTGTTACTCATATATTGCAATGTGGATGCGGAATTTATATGGGTCCACTAGATCAGCTGTGTCATAGTGAATGCCGTCAACACATCTTGGCCATTCTCTGTGAAAATACCCATATGAACATAGTGTATTCGGAGTGGAAACATAACATACTTCCAACTTCATTTTGGGTTAACTGTCCCGCTATGAGCAAAAAGATTCCATACGGTATCACAGTACGAGAGCCTCACAGATAGACAACAGGTGCAAACAGATTACCAGTTGCTATCAGTGGGAGCCCTAACAATGGGCATTTGCTTTTGTGCAGTATTACACAAACAGAATGCCAGTTACTAGCTCATAGACTGCATGGGTCCCCGTGCTGTTCTTAAGTGCATCTGCTGAGAGAGTGCTAAACTGTCTTGAGGCACAGATGGTAAATATCAAATGAGGTGAAAAAAGAAAAAAAAATGCATGTAGTACTTATACGAAAACACCCATTGCACTTTTTAAAGGCTCTAAGACTCTTCGTCCCGGACTTTTCGTCCCTGAATTTTTTGTCCCCAGACTTTTTGTCCCCCAGGAATTTGAACATAGAGGTTGTAATTTTTAATGTTAACATGCAAAAATAAACAAACAAACAAAAAAACAGCTCAGGCGATGGGAGTAAGACAGCCATGCATGACAGCCTTTTAATGTTTTTCATTATGGACATGGGTAAGTCTGCTTCTTCTTCTTTTTTTTTTGCAAGATTGTAGTTTGATAATTACAAAGAGTGAATGAATGAGTCTGCTGGGGAGGACCCAAGCAAGTGTTTTAAGTACAGTTGCTGACCTTTTTTGTATTTTCTTTTTTACCTCACCAGTATCTGAGACATTGAGGAACTCGTACCCTAAACCAAACGGCTCTGGAAACCTGATTACCACTGTACAAATTTGAAGCACATGCATTTTACTAATCTTAAAGGCTCCAATGCACCCCAAAACCACAGCCTACATACAGTCACATGTCGACTGCTTGGTGCACGAAACTGTTCAGTACATTCTTTGCTGTAACTAGGAGGTTGGATGCAAATCATATTTTTCCATATTGTTGAAAAGTTTTACATTGCTTTTTCTCAAAACTTAAAAAAAAAATGCACTTAACCTTTTTGTGCTCCAACCAGTTGATGTATTGATTGTGACATTTTGCAGAAGTCATGTGAACTCATCTTTTCTCAGTTCAGCAACTGTAAGAATTGCAATGTGCTTTGATTTGAAATTTCATGTTTTCTTTATTCTCTTTTCCCAGCTCCATCAGCATCAGTCCGGTTTCTGCATGTCCAGCTGCTAATCAATACTCTTAATTCTTTCATCATTACAAATAAATTAAATTTATTGGATGACATGGAGTTGCGTGTTTCATTGCATCATGTAAATGACCAATACAGTTTAGTAGTAGTAAATTGGAGTCCAAAAGTCTGTGGCGGTGTCTGTGACCAGGAGGCTCCATGTCTTCTCATGCCGTGGGTACAGTCCAGACATCAGTTGGATGACTTTGGAATTGCCAGCCTTCCTCCACTGGAACTCTTCCTTTCGTCAAGCTGATTTCCCACAAGACAAAAATTGCCAATAAGGCAGCATGGCTATGCTTGAACTGCCCGAGTACACAATCTCAGGCAGTGCTGGACGATGTTGCGTCATCTCCCATTCACTTTAACAGGAAAGAAAATGATCATTTGTTAACATTACATAACTGTTTGACAGAGCAGTAATATAAAGATGGGCAGGACATATGTACCAGTTTGTATTAGTAAGGTTTAAAGTATGCTGTGCCTGAATAGTACACATGCTGGCGACAGCCAAATTATTGAACACTGGATATGGGTGAGAGCTCTACTGATAGCTAAAACTGCCCGTCTCAAACAAACTACAGAGGAATGGATAGACATAAGGTCCCAGGATGGTTTATGATGGTTCTATCCAGCCTGTTGGTAAAACGTATTCTTTCTGGATAAAGCAGGTGAACCTGGTCGTGCAAGCTGATGGACCGGCTGACAACAGACTGGGTGGCTGCTTGACCAGCTTATATTGGTTTTAGCTTGTCACCGAGCGTAGTATGCTTAAGACTTGTATCTTACAAAATATTGAAATTGGGCCTCACTCAAGTTATTCAAAAGTATTTTAAAAAATCCAATATTAGCAAGCATTATCTAAATTGGGTATTACTAGCTAACCCTGGATGCACTTATTTTATTTTAGTACAAATCAACATCTCATTGTGAAGACTCTAGCAAGCCAAGTTATCCGAGAGCTCTAAATTTACAGCCTCTCCGTGTTATCATAATCTTTGCAAACTAGCAGCTATATTTTTGGAAATTCACATTATTTCCCAACGAATCATCAGCGATTGAAACTGACTTGCACATTTTTCTAAGATCTGTTTTAGTATTAAAGTAGACATTTTTTACAGATACCAGTTGAACTCGCAAGTTCATTAACTGACAAAAGCTAAAATGATCCATATTTTTTGATGCTTAAGGCTGGCACACATTACAGGATTCTTCAAACCTTCACAGATTTAGAGACTACTCACTTGATGATAACAAAAGACAGATCGCACAAGATCTCTCTTCTGATCTTTTAGTGTGTGGTGTGCACTACGGAGCACGCCACACACTAACCGATTCTTCAGCAGAGTATCAGGTTCTTCACGCTCAATATTCCAAATCTTGTGTAGTCAAACGTGTTTTTTGTTTGTTTTTACTTCCTCTTCCGTCAGTCAGCTGACTCAGCTTGCGTCTTGATTGGCTTTTGTTCCGGTACATGTGACATTACACACTGTGCGTGCTCGGCTCCTCTCCGAGCACCCCACACACTACAGGATTTCTAGTCACAAATATTAAACATGTTCATTATTTACGATCTCTCCTTCCGAGCAGATCGGACCGGACTAAATCACTCTTAACACACCCCACACCACAGGAAAATCAGACATGATGTACTTTGCAAATATCAGACAATCGGGCCTTTGCTGGCTTTGATCGGAAGGGGGAGATCGGGACAAAAATTCGGCCCGATTATCTTGTAGTCTGTACCAGGCATTAGCTATATTATAACTTCAGCCAGCTGCCATTCCAGTGTTTTCACGCTCACCGAAAACTTGCAGAGCCGGTCCCGTATGGTAGCTCTTACGGAATTGACTCGCCATCTCTCCTTCAGAGTAGCTGTAGCTTCCCACATAGCTACTAGCAACGAGCTAAATATTTAGCTTGTTGGCTATTAGCTAAAAGTGTGCCAAGCAGACGGCCATGCTCGCGTCGGTGACGTACATTGTACTAGACGAGAGATGTAGTTCACTGAGCGGTCTCACACAAAACTAAATATATCTCACTATCTTTACAACAAACTGCTAATTTATTGGCTTGCAAAATTATCTTTTAAATCAACAAACATCATATGTGTAATTCATGGCATAATACAAACGGGATCAAAAAATAGTTTGTCTCTCGCCACTGACTACCGTGTAAATTTTTTTGGATTTAAGGTCCCATGGGGATCACCGAAAGGGGCGTGACTTCGCCACTCTATAATGCTTTGCCCTCTTCCTGCATTATAACACTATCCCTAACCCCAAACCTTATATCCTGGTAATCTGTCTGTCATCGGTCATCCATCCATCTGTCAACAATGGCGGTACATTTTTTATCATTAGGGGACAAAAAATCCGGGGACAAAAAGTCCGGGGATGGAAGATCCAGGGACAAAGACTCCTGTAACCCTTTATAAAGAGCATACTGCCAATTGTACAGAACTGATACGCTACAAAGTGGAAAGTTTTGTGCTTGGAATATGATAACACGGAAGGACAAAGTGAAAAAATTCGTAAGAAGTCATGACTCATACAGTCAGTGAATGCAAGTGCTTTTACTCATCTGAAGGGCGATTCCATTTTAGAAACTGAAAAAATGCTTAATTTGAGAAATGTTTTTAACTGACTGGTCTATTATGATTTGTAACCCTGAATACCCAAGTCACTTAGAACAAGTACATGAATGCAAAATTTGTGATTTGGGGTGGAATTAAAGGAGACATGAAATTTCAGCAAATTTTCATTTTTCCACAATTTTCAATCAATTGCCTTAATTTCCCAAGAATTGACATCACTCAAGTTCCCAGTCTGTACGAGTCACCTGTCTAGAGCAAAGTATGTCCACTTGCAAAGTGACAGTCACATGACCCTTTGCTCGCCGGAATAAAATATGATAAATGACGGGCTGTTTATCATCATATCCTGTCCAACAGATTGAAGGCAAAAAGTTCTTGCTTTTTTTGGAAACCTTTCACTACAAATCTTTTAATTTCAGACTAAAGGTACTAAAATACTACTGTCTCCCCATAATTCGATTAATTAGTTTACACATAATTAGCCTAAAAAGTATTGTCCTGTACAACAGATCATTGGTACAGTCCTTTAAAGAACTGCTTAAACCAAATCTCAAGGCAGTTATTTCTCAGTGGGTTAGTTCTGCCTTAAAAACAATAGGTTTCTCGGAGCTGCTGGGATAGCTCACTCGGTTAAAGCATTGCACTGCAAAGCAGAAGTGTCTATCACAACGTGGGTTTGAGCCCCAATCGTACCAACCGGCAGTCGTCGGCAGCTTTTTCAGCGTAGCACACAATTGGCCATTGAGCTACAGGGATGCCAATTGGGAAGGGTCTGCCAGGAAGGATAATCTAACATGGTTCCGTTGTTCGTTGCTTAGGCGCCTCCTGTTGGCCAAGACAGGCGCTCATCAGGAAGATTCTAAGCTTGTTCATGTTCGGGTATCCTCCGCCCTCGCTCTGAACTTGCGATGATTCAACCAATAAGTGTATAAAAAGCGGTGGCTGATGGGCGCGTGCTTCGGAGGAGAGCCACGAACTGTCTGCACTCTCCTGAATTGGCAACAAGGGGTCGCATATGAGCAAGTGTTGTACATAGTTCCCTAATTGGGCATTCCAGATTCGAATGGGATTGGAGATGCCAAATTTATTTTAAAAAAAAACAATAGGTGTCTCTATTAATTCCTTACCTCTGAGACAATAGGGGGCATTAGTGAATGGAAAATTCCATTGAGGGAAGGCAAGTGACTGTTTCAAGGGTATGCAAATGGCTGTTCAGAGTTTCTTAATGGCATCAGTCACCGATTCAGAGGGAAGTAAAACATTGAAAATATTTTAAAATTAAAGGAATTATCAAAGATATTTGTGAAAGTAACATCTGCCATGTCTGTCTATTTCATTAGTTTTTTTTTTTCCATGAGAAAGACCGAAAAGAGTAGTCTGTCCTGACTGACTGTCTCATGCATGAACATGCACTATGGTTGTGCACATTGCATGCACTGTCAGACTGGCTGAATAAAAATGTATAACATGGGGATTTGATGGAAATTCTGATAGGCCACAGAGTCAAGCTTGCTTAAGGTGCTACCTCCTGGAGAGTCACCTGGGTGCATTTGACCGTCATCTGACTTTGCATCACATGATTGCTTAGCCGGTAATATGTTCAACTTTTTTAAGTTTGCCTTCCCCAGTAGCTGTTCCTTGGCACGCTAGCTCAGCAATCGCTTGCATCTGAGCAGATCCACCTGCTATAAGGTTCTTGGTATTCGTTTTAACTGCAGACTTCCATAACAATGTTTATTTTGGCTGCTGCTCCTTGGTGGAGTTTGTGTTGCTCTTGATCTATGATGTCATGCTTTCCATAGTTATTCTGCTACGCTGGAAGTGCTCGGTTATGAAGGCCAGCCTGCGCAAAGCTTACTTGTCTTAAATGTGGCTTGTTTCAAAAACATTGCCCTATGTATTTGGTTTTTTTTGTTTTGTTTTTTTTTAAACAAGTCTTTTTTTTTTTTTGGATTTTTTTTCCTTTGTTTGACAGTTGTACAGTGTAGAGAGACAGGAAGGTTGGGGAGAGGAATGGGGGAAGACATGCAGCAAATGACATGAGCTGGAGTCGAACCCAGGTCGCTGCGGGAAGGACACAGCCTTTATGGTACGCACGCTTAGACCGATGAGCCACCGGGGCGCCCCGCCCTATGTATTTGTTGAAGGAATCTTTGGTGTATTTGGTGTTATTTGTCAAACCGTAAATTTAAAGCACCACATGCTAATCTGGATGCAGCCACAAATGCTCAACAATTCCAGTTCTCGCTTGGCGAGGCAGCACTCTCATTGTCGGTAGCTAAATATTTCTTCGACGCTAAGAATTGCCATCTGCTCACCTATTGCGAATCGCCACTGTTTGAAAGCTGCTCTTTTCCAGGTGTGGAAAAAAGCATGTGGATGTTTTAAAAATGTATTAAGTGTATTGCGGTACTGTCCTAAATCGGGAATGTGCCAATTGGACCCGTATGTCTTGCAAACAAGTGTGTGCGGGAGTGCAAACATTTCATGGAAGTCGCGGCAGTGCTTGTACTTGCAATGCAGTAATATTGTATTTTGTGAAGTTACCCGAGCTGCTAGTTTCTCCTCGTTTTTTTGCTCCTGGATAAGCGAAGCTTAGGCAAGAGTTTTTGTGATGAGACTCGAGCATCATGCACTAATCAATCAATTTGCCGTTAGCATGACCACCAGCGGTAAGATAAATATGATCTTAGCATGGATGACCGGTCCCTAATTCACAAACGGCTTATCGAGGAGTTAACGATTGTCACTTTGATTTTCTTTATATACAGGATGCTTGCTAGTTTCTTCGCATGGTCAGGGTATACGATTTGCAAGCCTAACAAAGCGCATAGTGATCATTAATTTGCCGCAGCACTGAACGAGCTCATGGCTTTTATCGGAACCCTTATATCGAGTCGCGTTCTTGCCTGATACTTTATTGATTACTACAAATGATAACTTTTTGGCCTTACTGTTTGATCTAATTTACTTGGCTACAATGAAGTATTTAGAGATGGCAAATTAAACTTTTGTAAACAACCTCTGGGATGGATGCTACTTCTTGGTCGTGGCTTGGTTTCAAACTGCTTGGTTTAATTCAATTGGTTAACTCTACTTCTGCCTGGGTTCAGGAACATGCTGTCATATGGATCGCCTGCTCATGTTCGATCCGAGTTTTACTTGAACAAGCTCTAAGGTTTGGTGGATTGCGGACCCAACTTCATTTGCCTTGTCTCCGGCCTATTAATATCAATTCATTGGCAAAATTACTACAATTCGCCTGTTATTCCTGTTGAAATATTCAATGGATGTACTTTGTGCATCGTTTTATGTATTTTTTAGCATGGTTTTGATTTGCCTCATGCTTTTAAATACAACTCCAATTCCGAAATAGTTGGGATGAAGTGTAAATTGTGAATAAAATCAAAATGCAATGACTTTCAGATCACATGAGCCAATATCGAGGGCCCACTGCAATAAACAGTTATGTCCAATATATAACATCTGGACATAACTGTTATGACATAACATGACATAACATAATATTGCAGTCAGCCCTCGATATGTTATTTACAATAGAACATAAAAACATTTCAAATGTTGAATATGAGAAAACTTACATTTTTATTCACAAATTGATCTTATTTCAAATTTTCTGGCTGCAACAGGTTTCAAAAAAGTTGGGACACAGGCAAAAAAGGGCTGAAAAAGCAATTAATACAAAAGAGAATCAGCTGAAAGAACATTTAGCAAGTAATGAAATTAACTGGCATCAGGTGTGTAAAATGATTGGCTATAAAAGGGATGTCTTAGAGAGGCTGAGTCTCTCAGAAGTAAAAGATATTAAGAGCTCTCCAACCTGTGAAGGGTTGCATAAAAAAATAGTGGAATACTTTAAAAACAATGTTTCTCAACGTCAAATTGCAAAGGCTTTGGAGGTCTTATCATCAACAGAGCGTAACATCATCAAAAGGTTCAGAGAAACTGGAAAAATCTCTGTGGGTAAGGGACAAGGCCGAAGACCTTTACTGGATGCCCATGATCTTTGGGCCCTCAGACGCCATTGCATCACTCACTGGCATGATTCTGTCATTGACATTACTAAATGGGCCTAGGAATACTTCAAGAAACCACTGTCTGTAAACACAGTCCGCCGTGCCATCCACAGATGCCACTTAAAACTCTATCATGCAAAAAGGAAGCCATTGTTGAGCATGATCCAGAAGCGCTGCCGTGTTCTGTTGGCCAAGGCTCATTTAAAATGGACTGTAGCAAAGTGGCAAAGTTTCCTGTGGTCAGATGAGCCCTAATTTGACGTTCATGTCGGAAATCATGGGCGTTGTGTCCTCCGGGCTAAAGAGATAGACCACCCCTCCTGTTATCAGTGTTCAGTTCAAAAGCCAGCATCTCTGATGGTATGGGGCTGCATTAGTGCATATGGAGTGGGACACTTGTATGTTTCAAAAAGCACCATGAATGCTGAAAGGTATATAAAGGTTTTAGAGCAAGATATGCTCCCCTCCAGATGAAATCTATTCCAGGGAAGGCCTTGTGTATTTCAGCAGGACAATGCAAAACCACATACTGCAGCTATTACAACAGCATGTCTTCGTAGTAGAAGAGTCCGTGTGCTGAAATGGCCTGCCTGCAACCCTGATCTTTCACCGATTGAGAACATTTGGTGCATAATTAAACGAAAAGTCTGTCAAAGGAGACCCAAAACTCTCCAGCAGCTGGAAGCCTGTTGTAAACAAGAAAAGAAGCAGCCAGATCAAATTCCAATGGCTAAACTTAAGAAAATTGTCTCCTCAATGCCCAGACGCCTCCACTCTGTGTTAAATAGAGGAAGGGATGCTACACCATGGTGAACAGGCCCCTGTCCCAACTTTTTTGAGACCTGTAGCAGCCATCAAATTTGAAATGAGCTCATTTTGTGGGTAAAATTGTAAAATTTCTCAATTTCAACATTTGCTATGTTATCTCTGTACTATTGTGAATAAAATACTGGCTGGCGTGATTTGGAAGTCATTGCGTTTTTGATTTTATTCACAATTTGCACTTTGTTCCAACTATTTCGGAATTGGGGTAGTCTTGTGGAGATACAGCTTGAAATTTGTGAACTTGCTGTGATGTCAACACCGTCATGTTATCTTGAGTTCTACCCACCTCCCCATGGTGCTTCAACTCCTGGTGTTTTCAAAATAAATAAATAAATAATGCGCCAAATGACGTCATTTGGGTAGTAAGCACGACTGCTCGGTTGCCTCACGGATCGATTGCGTGTACACGGGTGGGAATAAAACTAAGCCCTTTGTTTTGTATCTGTGTTGTCAGATGTGTAAGTGTCCAAAAGAAATCAAACTTGAATTTCAAAATAGCCACCTCTTGAGGTATTATTTCTACATCAGTATAATGCACATTTGGGCTCACTAAGGATTTGTATGCTTTATTAATATTGTTTATCCGGTTAAGCTTGGTTTGTCAGAATACTGGCATTACATTTTATGGGCTGCTGTGGCCACATCGTTGAACAGCAAACTGGGGTTTGTCATCTGATGTTCCGCATGGTGCTTTGTGTCCGATTGTGTCTTGGCGCTCATGATGGTTATACAAGTGGAGTGTGTATTGAGCATTGCCTGCTGATTGATTTGTCTATTTATATATTTATTTAAAAAAGAAAGGCAATTTCTCACTTATGTTCTTTTTAAGCCGA